TTTCGCTCTGCAGCTGGATGAGAGCACGGATGTAGCAAATGTCGCAGAATTGCTTGCATACATCAGATTTCTTTCAGAAGACAACTTTTTTGAGGAAATATTATTTGTGCAAAGCACTGGAAGGTAGGACCACATGAAGAGACATTTTCCAAGTTTTAGATGAGTACATCATCTCAAATGGACTTGACTGGTCTCATTGTGTGGGTGTGTGTTCAGGTGGGGGCTATGACAGGCAAACAAAGCGGAGTGATAGCTTTGACCAGGCAGAAGGCCCCAAATGTAGTGGCAACACACGGCATGCTCCATCACGAGGCACTTGTTCACATCATTTAAAAAAAAATGGAGACAGGGGGGTCCCCGCCAGAGGATAATGCTATATGGGGGTCCTTGGCATGGCAAAGTTTGGGAACCCCTGCACTAGCGTACACATTAGGGTGGTCCTTAAAATTGAAAGTCGGAAAGTCTAAGCTCCAACCCCCAGACTTCATTCTATTAGTCAAGGTGAATTTTTTCCTCAATCTGACAACATTTACCTCTCCCTCATCGACCTTGAAGTTTAGCCTCAGTTGCACCGTGGCTGCTGGTGCGGCAGCCCAGGTTGATGAGGGAGGGGTACATGTTGTTGGAATTTTAATAAAATTCACCAGGAGAGTTTTCTTGACTAGTAGGCCTATAACGAATTCCGGTGGTTAGAGCTTAAAATAAATGAATTCAAAACATTTACCTCTCACGAAGGACCACCCTAGTACACATGTTAAACTTTAGAATGACTAACGTGATTACATTTACTTTGACCTTTCCCATATTTTGCATTTTTAAAAACATCAAAGCGTTTCATACTAAATCACTAAAGTGAAATGTGTACATTAACATGTTCTTGAATCATTTATTTACTTCAAAATTCAATTTTCTCTCTATCACTCACTTCGCCTCCCTCTACTTCTCCACATTATAAATCATCAAAAGAAGTTGTAAACAAGCAGTGAGCCATTAGACATGATGAGAGTCGTCAGGCGGTGGCAAATTACCAACACAGGCCACGAGAGACAAGCAATTTCAGCCTGTTCAGCCTTACTCTCTGCTCAGTCAGGTCTGAACATACATTAGTCAAGTGCTTCACTTAAGTACAATCTTGAGGAGCTCCTGCTTTATGTGAGTACTTCCCTTTTGAACTAGTGTACATTATACATCTCCTCCATTACATTTTGAAGGCACATGGTGCTTGCACAAAAATGTTGTTACTGTATGTTCACTTTAATAAATACTTACTTTTCAGATTAGTATTATAAAATAATAAACTTAAAAAGTACAATGTATTACTTAAGCAATAGCTCACGACAGGCCGTGGTATATGCTCATTATATCACAGCTAAGGGGCGTGGTTCGGCCCGACGCATAGCTTTCTTGTTCTTGTTCCACTTTTCAGCCCAACTGTATACTGTTTTTCTCAGGCGCGGAGGGATACTGACTTGTTTTGAAAAGCAACTTACAATTCTACCCATGGTATACGCTCAGTATATCATGGCTAAGAACCAATCAGATTGCTTGATTTGACTTTTCCGTTTTATAATATGGAATAATCTACCTGCCAGTGTTTTACATAGAATTAGTCCCACCATTCCTAGCTGCAATATTAGTGATTAGTAGTGACAATAATATATATTATTCTGCATAGTAAGCACTTTTACTTTGGTAGACTCATGTGGTTTAGAGGTTTAAAATGTTACTTCAGCACTTCAGTAATAACATACTGTAAGTATTGAGAAAAATATATATTTAAGGGCTCACTATAAGCCAACAAAAATATGATTCTTAGTCGAACAAAATACTGCACCAGGGGAGACGGACTAATGTTCTATTTATATACGGATAATATCTTTATCTTGGATTCTAAGGGGTCATGATAATCTGTGAAAATATGATATCGTGACAACCCTATGCAATAATATCAAATTAAAAAAAGATTAGCAAACCAATTGTTGAATAGTCTATTCTGATTGGTCAATCACCAAATTCTTCACTCTGTTATTTCTTCATATCAGAACGCTGCTATAAATGTGCTGTTCAATCTTTTAACCTCTACACACTGGTCCTTTCCTTAAGTTGAATATCTGAGTGCGCTACTAACAATAAGAACATACAAAAAAGTAGAGGTGCAGTGAAATCCCTGCAGGCCGGAAGCCATTGTGACTTCTTTATGAGCTGGCTTCTCTGTGACAGTTTAACACCTGCACAAGTGTCCCTTTCTCTGTAAAGCATAACTTGTGGCTTCATTATATTCCCTCCCATGCTGGCGTCATGCTGCATTAGCAGTGTGAAGGGCAGACTGACGAGACCGACCGTCGT